TTACTTTAAAATAACATGATTGGGAAAATGTGTCATTTTAAATTAAAATATCTACTCCGAAATCATAGGGGGAAAAAAGCGAAATAAATTATTTGCACACAATGGCGTAACGGGGTGGTTCCGTACTATTTCGATGTGTGGGTGAGCAGAACAAAAAGTCACAGGAAAAAGACTTTTTTCCTTACAATCAGATGGTGTACGGTATGTGTACTAGGAGGTGTATGTGTACTAGGTGATGTAGGTGTTAGGTGGTGTCCATGGGCGCCCGCAGGTAGGGGCAAGGTGGGGCACTTGCCCCCCCCCCGGCTTGATTGGATAAAAATTTATAGACAAAATAGACAAAACATTTATTAAAGTAAAGAGAAAATAAAGAGAAAGTAACTAAGCCGATGTCCTGACCGTTCGTTCACCATACAAATACGCTACAGTGAATTAAAACTACATTAAAACATTACTAAAAATTGTTTGCACCCCCCCCCCGAGAAAGTTTTCTGCGGGCGCCCATGGTGGTGTCTGTGTTAGCTTGTGTCCGTGTTAGGTGGTGCAGGTGTTAGCTTGTGTCCGTGCTAGGTGGTGTATGTCATTCGGTGTGCATGTGTGCTGGGTTGGGTATGTTACGAGGTGGGGTGTGTGTGGTGGTGGGGTATGTGGGCAGTTTGCTGTATTAGGGCTAGGTGGGATAAAATGTGTGAGAAGGGTATGTGTGCTAGGTGAAATGTGCTTGCTAGGGGGTATGTGGGCAGTTTGCTGTATTAGTATTAGGGCTAGGAAAGATAAAATGTGTGAGAAGGGTATGTGTGTTAGGTGAAGTGTGTTTGCTGGGGGGTGTGTGGGGAATGTGGGCTAGATGGTGTATAAGGGCTAGATGGTGTATGAGGGCTAGATGGTGTATGAGGGCTAAATGGTGTATGAGGGCTAGATGGTGTATGTGAGCTAGGTGGTGTATGTGGGCTAAATGGCGTATGTGGGTAAGGTGGTGTATGTAAGCTTAGTGTGGTAATTGTGCTAACTGTGGTATCCACCACTAGGTGGTGCAGGTGTGCTAGGTAGGGAATGATTTCGTAGCGAACTCATCTAGACTATTACGCATGTGGGGTTCGAATCCCAGTATCTCTCCTGTTATTTCTTTTAATCTCTTATTATTTCTTTCAACAATAAATATGCTTACCATTTAAGTGTTAAAAAATTATGTTAAACTTTAAATTAATTTTAAAATTAAAATAAGTGTAAAAACAATAAGTCAAAAGTGGTTAGTGTCATAAACATCTTGTATTTCCTTCATTTTAGGTGTCCATTTTCAACACTAGCATTTGAAAGCAACTGTGGTGTTAGATAAGCTTTGCGCGGATTGTGCAAAACTAAAGTGTCCTCGTGGCCATCAAGTGAGCTTTTTTCGCCACTAAATTAATTTGAATATCTTCATTATCCCAAATCACTAAAACTTGATCATTATTTTGTTTTTTAAAGACGGAGTGTGACTATGATAGGATACGGAGATTTTTATAGAAAAGTGAGCAATGGCAGCTGTGTCAGCTGTGGCAGCAATGGCAGCTGTGTCAGCTGTGGCAGCAATGGCAGCTGTGGCAGCTGTGTCAGCTATGGCAGCAATGGCAGCTATGGCAGCTGTGGCAGCTATGGCATCTATGGCATCTATGGCAGCTGTGGCAGCTATGGCAGCTGTGGCAGCTGTAGCAGCTGTGGCAGCTGTGGCAGCTATGTCAGCTGTGGCAGCAATGGCAGCTGTGGCTGATGTGGCAGCAATGGCAGCTGTAATCAAGATAAAAATCCGTTTTCTTGTGTTTTCTTTCTTCCAAGAGGCAGTTTCAGTGTTACACAGTTACACACGGGCGACACAAGCCACGTGCGCTCATTAACTCGGGTTGATAGTATCCTACATGTAACAAAGACACTGTTCATCTGCTAAGCTGGCATTGTAGAAGTCTGAAGATGTTGGTTAGAGTTAGACTTAGAATGATACCGCTTACTATAAGCACGACTATCATATCACTATCACTATCGAATCAATATCACTATCAAATCACTAGCACATCACTTTCACATCATTTCACTATCATATCACTATCACATCACTATCACATCACTATCACAGCACTAGCCCTATCACATCAATATCACATCACTATCACAGCACTAGCCCTATCACATCAATATCACATCACTATCACAACACTAGCCCTATCACATCACTATCACAGCACTAGCCCTATCACATCAATATCACAGCACTATCACAGCACTAGCCCTATCACATCACTATCACAGCACTACCCCTATCACATCACTATCACAGCACTAGCCCTATCACATCAATATCACAGCACTATCACAGCACTATCACATCACTATCACATCACTATCACATCACTATCACATCACTATCACATCACTATCACATCACTATCACATCACTATCACATCACTATCACAGCCCTATATCACACCACTTTTCCCCCATTTGTATTCTGTAGGCCTTGCGATTTTCGTGAATAAGGGGCGGCAAAATGAAGGTCCCTCCGGGCGTCTCAGACTCTAGCTACTCCACTGTTTCCAGGATTATACAGTTAGAGGTCAGCACATGACATACACGTCACAGTTAGAATTCAGCACATGACATACACGTCACAGTTAGAGGTCAGCACATGACATACATGTCACAGTTAGAATTCAGCACATGACATACACGTCACAGTTAGTGGTCAGCACATGACATACATGTCACAGTTAGTGGTCAGCACATGACATACACGTCACAGTTATAGGTCAGCACATGACATACACGTCACAGTTAGTGGTCAGCACATGACATACACGTCACAGTTAGTGGTCAGAACATGACATACACGTCACAGTTAGTGGTCAGAACATGACGTACATGTGACAATTAGTGGTCAGCACATGACATACACGTCACAGTTAGTGGTCAGCACATGACATACACGTCACAGTTAGTGGTCAGCACATGACATACACGTCACAGTTAGTGGTCAGCACATGACATACACGTCACAGTTATTGGTCAGCACATGACATACACATCACAGTTAGTGGTCAGCACATGACATACATGTCACAGTTAGTGGTCAGCACATGACATACACGTCACAGTTAGTGGTCAGCACATGACATACATGTCCCAGTTAGTGGTCAGCACATGACATACACGTCACAGTTAGAGGTCAGCACATGACATACACGTTAAATGACAGCTGCCGGAAGTTCGGTGTTCGTTTTTACAGCGTCGGATCCTGAAATAAATGGCAGGTAGGCCTATCGATGGGGACAGGAACGGCAGTATGGAAATGGCTTGTGAAAATAAGAGGGGTAACCCTATTCAATCGTCTTCCTAATAAACAAAACAATAACAACACGGAACTTCACCTCACCACAAGCCACTACTGTCACACTGTAGGACACGCCTACTGTCACACTGTAGGACACGCCTACTGTCACACTGTAGGACACGCCTACTGTCACACTGTAGGACACGCCTACTGTCACACTGTAGGACACGCCTACTGTCACACTGTAGGACACGCCTACTGTCACACTGTAGGACACGCCTACTGTCACACTGTAGGACACGCCTACTGTCACACTGTAGGACACGCCTACTGTCACACTGTGGGACACGCCTACTGTCACACTGTGGGACACGCCTACTGTCACACTGTGGGACACGCCTACTGTCACACTGTGGGACACGCCTACAGTCACACTGTGGGACACGCCTACTGTCACACTGTGGGACACGCCTACTGTCACACTGTGGGACACGCCTACTGTCACACTGTGGGACACGCCTACTGTCACACTGTGGGACACGCCTACTGTCACACTGTGTGGCACACATACTGTCACACTGAGAGGAAAGCATACAGACACACTGTGTGGCACGCCTACTGACACACTGTGTGGCACGCATACTGACACACTGTGTGGCACGCATACTGACACACCGTGTAGCACCCACCACTGTCGCACTGTGTTGCACCCACTACTGTCACACTGAGCGACACCGAAAACTGTCACACATAGTGTCGGACTGTGTGGCACGCCAATACCTTGTTAAAACAGGTTCTTAATTTTAAGTTTTCAGCAACAGTCCTGACCAGCATTAGTACAGTACGGCATGGGTAAAAATAGTGCCAACAAGAAAACAGAAAGAGTTGGAAATTACCAGCTGAAACGAAGGAAGTTGTAAACACTGTTTTCAAGGCCAGACCAGGATCAAGGGTGGGGTCATTTTTGTAACGGTTTCAAAAGGGGGTATGCACCGGTAGGCACAGGGTGTGGGCGTTATATAATAAATGGGGGCCATAGCTGGCAACGAAATCGGTGGCATGTGAAGTATTGAAGTACTAACTGTACGAAACAATAAAATACCTTCCGGTGTCAGCCAGGGATCGGCGAACTCTTTTATTAAGCTATTCTCAAAACTTATTTCTTGACGCCGACATTACCCCCTCAAATGACAAGCCTATTTAAACTCATAGCTTGCTGGCGCTATTTACACGAAGAAACTAATCATAAATATAATTTAACCAAAAAAAAATAAATGCGATAAAATAATAAATAAATCCTCATTTTGAATCAAACATATTTCTTTGGAAACCTTTCCTCTCCGGGTATTTGAGGAATGTTGTTTCTAAAAAATATTTTTTTAAAAATTGACATCAAAATTGTGGCTATTAGATGTCAAGGCAAATTGGGGCTATTAGATGTCATGTTAATTGGGGCTATTAGATGTAATTTCAAATGGGGCTGTTAGATGTCATGTCAATTGGGGCTAATAGATGTCATGCCAATGGGGGCTATAAGATGTTACGTCAATTTAAATACTATGTTTGGGTTTCAATCGATTTGTCCCCCTATTGTTTTTGTGTTCAATAGAGTGGAAAATCCTTGTTCTCAAAGGTGGCTTGCTGCAGAGGAACTAATATTTTGGACCGCTTCCCTGTATTCAATGCTCTAAGCCTCTTAAAACATCCGACGTCTTTGAGCATACGATTAAACAATAAGACATCAAAACGTCGTACGCAACACACTGACGTTATGTTAGAGATGCCGACCAAACTGGCAACCACAACATGCTGAGTGCGATTCTATAAAATGGCCAATTGTGACGTGGTGCTTTACGTGCCATGTGTATTAGTGACGTCGTTATTTAATCTGTAAGAGCAAATTTCCAGTGAAGTTACATATATTATATATAATAAGTGAGAGAGAGATGAAAGAGAGAGACAGAGAAAGAGAGTCTGCTCTGTAGCATGAAATCTACGTTCATAGATTTACAGCTAGTTGGAAGGGACATTCCAGCGCTAACAATAAACTTCAACTGCAACACATTTGATATTTGAGCTTTGTAAGACAAAGGAAAACAGATGTGATCATTACGACAGCACTGATCACTTTTACTTTTGGGATCAATGCGAGTCGAGTCTTACTGCCAATAGCAGAAACGTCGTGTGATTTTTGGAGACCCCTGTCAATTTTTGATTTAGTGCATTCAAGGTTGATCATTATTATTTTTGTTTTACCACATCACAGCATTACTGCAGGACCCACGGGACGGCGGCTCTGCCAATACACGCAACAATTTAATGATTGCACTTAAATCAGCAGTCACATATTGTCAGCAGTAAATATGTAATGTTTTTTTTTTAAATTAAGAAAATAATAAATGTTTTCAAACAAGCTATCATTAATTAGCATAGGCATAAGAGAGTGACTAATGTCTCCCTTATATCACATGTCATGCTGGCTTTTAACGCATTTGAGGAACATAAAGGTTGACGATACTTTGGTCTCACTTTATGAGTCATTTCAAATCCTTGATTGAAATTTTTTTTATTTTTTTATCCATGGTTAAAATTAGATTTTGAAAGCTGCTCAGCCCCCCCCCCCCCTAATTCCCAAAAACAAAAGAAAAAAAAAAAAAATATGGTCATAGTCATGGTCATGCTACTAATAATAATACACATTTATTCAATAATTAAATTAAAAATATCAATAAATTAATTCTGAAGTGTACAACATATATTGAATTTTTCCCGTACACATGAAGGGGTAGGATGATAACCAAAGGCATAAATTATTATGTGAATTGTCTTCAATATTTTATCGCAAAAAAAGTTCAACGGTCCACAGGAATTGAAAACTGTAAAGGACGATAACCGTGCTCCAAAGGGGAGATAAATAAATACATATATTGTATATATTGTCTATATACAAAATGATCCATTGCATTTAAGTTTTTCACCTTTATCTGAAAAGCACATAATTTATATATAATTTAATTTCAATATATCAAAAATAATTAAATCAGACCAGACAAGCTACTGTCTATTTTAATTTAAGGTTGAATGCTTTCTTACTTGTTGTATGTTTCTCTGTTGTCACAGTCACTGTAAAACTTCACTGATACTGATACTGATAAGGCACATAGGCACAGGCATGAAATAAAAATGTGAATCTCGTTTATAATTATTTGAGTTCTTGAAATGCTTAAATTAGAAAATTGAAACTTCACAGCGACACACAATAGTAACAATTTTAACAATTCACAAATTAAAATTATAGCAAAATCCGTCGGTAGGCATACACATAAAACAATTACATTTTCATCGAAAAATCTATTTGCTTTCCAACGGGTTGCTCGTCTAAAAACGTTACTACACTTACACCAACGGACCAACCTGGGGGAAACATAATAAATTTAGTTTATTATACTTCCTTGTTAAATTCAGTATAAAATTATACTGGTCCAAACAATTGTTGATTGTTTTCTGCGTTATTTATGAATAAATCCAGTTGTATCATCGCAAAATTAATTTTGAAATCATAGAAAATTTAAATCTGGGATTACTTTTTAAACACGTCAAAAATTGTCGCATGAAAATTCATAGATTAAAAAAAAAGTAATTTAAATTTTGATATTGTAAATTTATAATCATTCCTCCCTGATAAAAGAAAAGATAACTTGGCTAACAATAATAAAATGGCGGAGAGCATGAATTGACTTTCGATTTTAATAAAAAAAAAAAAAAATGAAATTTAGAGGAAAAATAGTTGATATAACATGAATACATCATTTTACAAGTAGGTAGACACATAATTAAAAGATAAACAAATCTAAATTTTGATATTGTCAATTTATAATCATTCCTCCCTGATAAAAGAAAAGATAACTTGGCTAACAATAATAAAATGGCGGAGAGCATGAATTGACTTTCGATTTTAATAAAAAAAAAAATGAAATTTAGAGGGAAAATAGTTGATATAACATGCATACATCATTTTACAAGTAGGTAGACACATAATTAAAAGATAAACAAATCCGATAATCTCGTATCTTAGTATTAGTATTAGCTCTGCTATGTAAATTAGCATACGTCATACAGTATCAGTCATACATCATTACATCATACATACATTTCATTTTCATTACAAATGAAATTGTGCAGCCAGATTGAGATTGAAACAAAAATAGGACACAAAATTTTAAAATTTAAACAAAATTTGCGCAGGTACATAAATTTAATTAAATTTTGAGGCGAACTTATTCCCTTCATAATATCCATCTAGTCAATCTAGATATGCGGTAATTTAAGAAGTGTCAACAATCTGCAGTCCCCCTTTCAGTCATAGTCATAGTTTCAGATGTTACCTCCGTTACCTCCCGCTCCATGGACCATTCCCTCAGCCTCAACTAAAAAACTTGTGTGGCTACAGTTACACACTGTCATAAGAAAGTTGATAAAGAAGTAAAAACAATACGAAATAATTGTAAAATAATGAAAACCCAATTAACAAACAGTTTCATAGAATACACTTTTACACACTTCATTTCAGGTTTCACCAAAAAGAAAATTCAAAAGTCAGAAAATCAATACAGTACCCCCAATTTTCTACAATGGGGGCAAATATGCAATTTTAATATACTATAAGGAAAAATTAATTCTAGTAACAACAAGAAGATCAACAAAAGGGCGTAGATTGACAGAATATTGTTATTATTATTGATGAAACAGAAAGCTGAGAAATGTCTTTAGTCTTTTGAGAATGATGATTTTGATTTGAATTTTTAATTATTTTCAAATTTGGACTTTTTTATAAACTATAACTATAACTAAATTTAAATGATGCTTTAAATTTAATGCAAATAAATGTTTATTAGTTATTGTTGTTAGTGTAGGATATCTGGATTCTTTCAAATTCAATGAATTGAATCACATTTCATTATGACCATGATGATTCACTATGATTTATAATAATAAATTATCATATATTATATTTTTTTTGTGAACAATCAATTTATTTTATTTTGATGATAATATATATAGAATATAGTATATAGATCCTAAACCCTATATTAGTATATTACACTTGAATTCAGTATTACAGTTATTTCATCATTATTACATATTTATGCCCATATACTGATTTATATGTCCCAACTACAATTAAACATACTTTCTTTCTAAATAGACTATACTGGTAATATGTTGCAGACAGCTTTTGTTGTAGTTTAAGGGATGAGTTCATAAAAAAGTAGGCCTATTTGAATAATTTAATGAAATAAATAATAAACATTTGATTTGTGATTCATTTTTAGTGTTATCAATGAACAAAGATTGTAGTTGACTTTCATACATAATATGAATAATGATGCTGACAGTTTAAACAATAATTCTGTTTCAGATATTGTTGGAACTATTTCAAAATTGGTTAAGACCTGTATTATGCGCATTTCTGAAGACAAAGTCTTCTTCATACTCTCCGAGAGAATAGGTGATGGTGGTGCCCAAATATGGTGTGAGTTACAACAAGTAAGACACAAATTTATTCTCAATGATATTAATTTTTAAAATTTAATATACTTTTTCCCTATAGTCACACTTCATATAGTTTCATTCATCTGTTCCTACAGTCACACTTCATATAGTTCCATTCACTTGTTCCTATAGTCACACTTTCATATAGTTCCATTCATCTGTTCCTATAGTCACACTTCATATAGTTCCATTCACCTGTTCCTATAGTCACACTTCATATAGTTACTTTCATCTGTTCCTCATTCCTCTGAACTTTACAAATAAATCTGATAAGTGATAATCTGATAAGTGATAATCTGATTTTCCTCAGAGTCATTTTTTTGATGAATATGCAATGGAGGGTGTGTCACAAGAAGCTAATGAAATATATCTGGAGATAGTTCCCGACCTTATCTTACGTTCTCTAAAGACAGCGCAGTCAGCAAAATGGGTAAAAATTAAACTGACAAAGAAGCACACACCGTGCTTAACATTGGAGATAGATTTGGTAAGAGAGAGTAGCACATGCAACTAAAACCCCCCACCCCACACTTTAGCCCTCACCCCAAACCATTTTTTAAAAAAAAGCTTCACTTTTCATTAGTGGCTTCAGTTTTTTTTACAATTTATGTTAAGCGCTTATTGGACTTTCCATTTGATGTTATATTGTACCAAAAGAATATAGGAAACTGGCTTTAGCTCTTTCCTAACTTAAATAATTTACAAAAGCATTGAAATTTCTTGATATAACTAATTGCTTATATATTGTTGGATACAAAAAGAACTAATATAAGTATAATAGTTTTGTGTGCCGACAGTGTTGAGCTTTTGTTCTGACTTTATTAAAGCTTTAACTTTTTATGTTAAACTTTATACTTTTTTCTTTACGGGCTCTCCCATTGTAAAGACCCTATCATGATCAGTTGGTAAAATTTAATAAGGTCTTTCACTTTTGAAACTTTCCCAGCCCAGCGGTGGACTTCACCAAAGGCAAGTTGTTCATGATGTACCAGTCACAGTGGTGGCCAGAAAACACTGGGAAAGTTTTACAGAACCAGAAATGCCCAAATTTGATGTAATTGAAAGTAGTATTTTTGTCTCGATAGTTTAATCATTTTGCCTTTTGCTTCTTTTGAATGTCAAAAGTCTGCAAAATAAATTTCACTTTCTGACTTTTCCTTTTTTTTTTTTCCCAGTTCATTTTTTGTAATGATTCAAACATCTACCAGGTAGTGAGAAATTTGGTCTGAATTAATACTACTAAAAATAGCATAATTTTTACTTTTATGGAGATTATATTTTTGAATTCACTATTGCTAATGTTAAAATGTTTTATGGGAAAGGTATTGATTGGGGATGAGTAATAAAGTATTAAAAAATTCTTAAAATTTGGATAATTGTCATTTTTGTTCTTCTGTTTAAACCATACAAATAAGCAGTAAAGGTTAACTTGGGTTGTTTTTTTTGTTGCATTTTTTTTTCAGGTAAGCATTTCACTACCACCTCTAAAAGTTCTAAAGAATGTTATTGATAAGATGAAAAACCTCAGCAATTACGTAGTAAGTTATTATCAACAATTCTTTTTTTTTTTTTTTTTTTTTTTTTTTTTTTTTTTTTTTTTTTTATTTTTTTTTTTTTTTTTTTTTTTTTTTTTTTTTTTTTTTTTTCTTTTTGGTTGTAGATAATTTTTTTTTAAGATGTAAACATAAAATGAACATGGAAGTTCACGTTACAATAAATCAGTCATTCTTCAGGCCCTTTCAGCTAATTCCACTGGTGATATGAAGTTGTCAGTGGAGACAGACATGGTTGCCGTCAGTACCCATTTTCAAAATCTGCTTAACCCTATTTATAGTGATTTTTTTTTTTACTTTTTTTTTTTTTTTTTTTTTTTTTTTTTTTTTTTTTTTTGGTTGTAGATAATTTTTTTTTAAGATGTAAACATAAAATGAACATGGAAGTTCACGTTACAATAAATCAGTCATTCTTCAGGCCCTTTCAGCTAATTCCAGTGGTGATATGAAGTTGTCAGTGGAGACAGACATGGTTGCCGTCAGTACCCATTTTCAAAATCTGCTTAACCCTATTTGGAGTGAGTCTCAATATTACTTTTTTAGTTATTGTTTCAAGTTCCAACATATTCAATGCCTTCTGAGTTGTTTTTTTCTTAGTGTTTTAAAAAACTATAAATAGCTTTACAATTAATTGTCCAGTGCTATTGGTTTTGATAACAATGTGAGAGGAGACGGGGTCAATTAAAAGAACAACAAGTTAACATAAAAGTATTATTTAGTAAACAGTCTTAGAGATAAGATCACATTGCCCTATACAATAGTTAACTTTCACTTTCATTGTTTTCAATAATACTCACTGCTTCCAAAGCTCCCTTTTCCAACAATTTTGTTGATCAAAAATTATAAATTTTATATCAACCCATATATTACCAGTACAAAAAATGAGATCAAATGGAGGCAAATAAAAATTACATTTGCTAAACTTTATAATACATACAATGTTAAATAGTTCCTTTTGGTTTTTTTTTCTTTAAATCTGGAAATAAATTGTCTACAATTTAAAAATTAATTTATTCACATAATTTTTATTCAACGATGCATATTCTTATGTCTGTTTTGAGATTATAAAAACAACCTCAACCAATATGTGATCAATGTTAGTTTGATTATTTCAATTTTTTTTTAATCATGAACTAATGATTAAATTAGTGATGATAATCTGTTGTTTTAGATAGAAGTACTGGTAGTCAGCCACTGTCTCAGACTTCTGAAGACAGAGACCCACAAGAATTTTCTACAACAAGAATTGACATTAGAAAATTTGCCCAGTTTATCAACAGCCAGCAGGTTAATCCCAACAAAGTTGTTTGCAGTGAGTAGATTGTCATACCTATTAAAAATTGTTCATAACTTTCTTAGGTGTTTCTTTTCATCACTGAAGTACAATAGAAGAAAATTTAAAAAAAAAATATTGTAAGGATTTGGCATTGACTAATGACTATTTAAATTTTTCTTCTTCAGATATTGTCCATCAGCGCATGGCTCACTTCTTTCTTTTGCATGACGACGTGTCACTTCAGTACTTTTTACCAGTTGTCTCAAGATGAACCAAATTATACAAATTAATTATATGTGTATATTATTTAGCAACTATGAGGGAAATAAAACGGACAGAAGTCTCAGAAACTAAAAATGTAATTATCTTAATTTATTTCCTTGTTTTTAATGCTACTATACATTGTTGTCTGCACGGCTGGCATGCTGCTCAGCTATGACCTTTGGTGGCATATACCCTCATGACACTGCTTTCCAAAATATTTAGTGGATCTGAATAATTCTTTTGTGACATAATACAATTTGAAGGCGTGGTCACTATTCAAACAGCTCAGAACAGTAATCTAATGTACCCTAAAAATGTTCTAACTCTATGTAAAAACATGGCATACTTAAAAACACTTTTTCAAATATCAGCTCCAATCCTAACACTCAAGACATTTAAAATAACCTCTACACATTGATCTGCCTCCCAATAGAACGAATCACTAAGGAAAGATCACTAAGGGCATTGGATGTACACAAACATGATCACCTTGTAACATAACAACTTCATACTAACATACAAATTTGACACCAATATACAGGCAGTGGTTTAAATTGTACACCATTTATTTTTGGACATAATTGTTAGTTATGTCTTTCATTAATACATTAAAATGGTTATCAATGTTTTGGTTTCAATTGTAACTTTTTCTCATTTTTAAATTTGCTGAACTAGGTCAGGTATTTCAGGTTAAGGAGTTGAACTGAATATATTATAGATTTGCAAGCATAAGCTGTTTCATTTGATAAACCCTTCAAATTTGTAACTTCTCAAACTATCTAATATCTAAAACTTATTTTAAACAATTTTAATATTCCTTGTGAGATTTAACTTTAACAATTGTTCACTTAAATATTTGCATTAGATCGTGTAAAATTACTTGTTAATTTTTGTTATGACATAATAGAGTGACTTCAGCTGTTTACATGCAAAGATTCATGATACCTGGGCTCTGTAAAATATGTTGATTGTGCCTTCAGTATCATTACAAATTACTAGATTTGTTTGCTTTATATTTTTATTTATATTGCCATGTGATTGTTTACTTCACTTTTATTAAGTGTTACTTATGATACAATTAAAATAAAAAAGTATTTGTTGGTATTTCATTGAAACAGTGTGTATATTGGGTGAGGGGTAGTGTAACAAAATTAACTGCCTGAATAGTTCAACTCAAATAAAGATAGATTTGATATCTCTATAATAAATGTGATTAAAAGTCTTTAAAATGACAACAAAATTATCAAATTTTATTCAGGTGCAAGCTTTTAATTTGAAATGATATGTACATCAACAGATTTTGGAGTTTATATAATTGTACATTTTGACAATTCTGAATTTCCATTGCAAGGAAAAGAGACATAATTTAATGATTGCCAGGCCATACAGTAAACTTTCTTCAATATTCAGCATGGATGCAAGTTGAAGTTTTGACAAACCCAGTACAAAGTACAGTTTTAATGTTTCAGCAGCCATGGCTGGATGCCAAAGTTTGAAAGAAAGTGCCTTAACTTTGAATTTGTATATTAATCATAGAAATAACAAGAAAATATTTCTTTTACATTAAAATGAAATAAAATATGATGACAAAAAAACTGCACAAGTTACAAATAATTTATCATGAGTGTACAACATTACATGTCATGGTTAACACATAAATTATACTTTATGTTGTAAAAATTGTATCATCTGGAATTTGTAAATAGAGAATATGAATATGATTGAAAATGTTATTTTGACTGTCTTAGTTATTTTTCTTCAAAACAATGGGAGAGAAGATTAGGGATGCCTTATATGAATTTAAGTGAATTAAACATTTCCAAATCATTAAATTCAAATTATAAGATGATGTAGTGTACATTTTATAACATGCAAAACAAATTAGAAAAGTGAAGTTTATTTGATACAAGTACTTCTATGTATCACATGGTACATTCTTTTATATATATATATATATAAGTACCATTAATTAAAAAAAAAAAAAATCTCTTTCAGCTGATGACTGATTCCATCTTAAATCAATGGAACAACTGTACAAATAGTAATAGTACGTTTGTTCCCAATCTCAAAATAATGGACCATCTATACCAGGGGTGTCAAACTCAATCGCTGGGCGGGCAAAAACTCAAATCACACGTAAGGTTGCGGGCCGAACAGGATAAACATTCAATAAGTGGAAAATTAAACCTTTTTCAAACATTAATATCAATGAAAATAGAAAATTTTTTTAATAATAAATAATTGTCATACCCATTTTCGCTTTTATGTCAATTTGTCAGAGCTGGATGTTTGGCACATGTTCTTGACTACAAGTTCATTTATGTTTGGAGTAAGGTTCTATGTCATTGAAATTCTCATGATGGACTGCACTTGAAATTACTTTTCTTTGCTGCAAAGTCACTAAAGCGCCGTGAGAACTCGGTGCGAAGTAAGCTAAGTTATTTAGCAAAGTGTGCATTGGGAAACACCATAGCGTCGACTTGGATATAATTGTACGCCGGTCAAGACCTCTCGGGCCTGATATAAATGTACGGCGGGCGGGATGTGGCCCGCAGGCCTTGAGTTTGACACATGTGATCTATGCAATGTTTGATCCATTCAGTCTAAAACTAGGTTTAGCATCTTGTGGTTCATCGATGAAAATGAATATCTTCTGTCAATGACAACAAAACATGTTACTCAAAAATACCTCTTTTGTAGGGTTAAATTCCAAAGAATAGTAGAACAGACATGTTTTTGTTATTTAATGGTTAAAGGAACAGAGCACAAACAGGATTGCAGGCATGGGATTGAACATTTTTCTTTTTTTATAAAAAAAAATAACTGTACTTTATTTCTTTTGTATTGTTTATTGTATTTTGAATTTCTTCTATTATTTCTTTTACAAATCAGTATTGTCATGGCAGTAAAAGTGTAAGTTTTAAATGAGTTGAAGTGCTGAGAATCATAATAAAAGTGAAAAGTCAGGTCACAGCAATGGCTTCACTGAAATCAACAGGAATACTTGTAATATGATGTTTATAAAATTGTGAGAATATTTTATAATTTAATGGCCTATTCATAGATGACACCAGGCTTCACCGTATTTCATGTTGTTGGTATTAATACAAAAAATATTCATTTTAAACAAGCGATCTCATTTTTTAAATAAACTAGCTTATGGCCTACCAAACAATGGTGACCGCAATGTGTGAACTTCTCATCTATTAAAGTTACTTGACAAAACATACATTCGAGTAAAGCATTTTATAGGAATCCCAAATAGTGCTAACCCTGATCCCTCCCCAAACGCCACCATTTATCACACCATTTTCTTAAAACAAAAGGAAATTATTACGCAACTAACGCACTTTCTGTACTTTTAATAATCTCATTTAGCGCAGTTATCGGGAGTTTCATTTAGTGAAATCAGCGCCATCTAGTAATGTTAGTGACATTGTTACATAGAGAATAATGTATTTTGATTTTTTTTTACATTTATATTTGGATTTTGAGAATTTTTTAGATAATTACAGTTGGTTTATTGAAAATACAACAAAAAAAAATCAAATACTTATAATGCTATCCACCCATTGTCGCTCAACATAATCATCAGCCACTACTTTGGCTTACTAAGATGGTGAGTAGCAAATTAGGATTGAAAACTCTATGACCAAATATTCCTAGATATATTTCTAAATACAAGCCTGATGTTCATGAAACAACTTATTAAATTTGTTTAAAAAGGGCAGAAGGAGGGGAACAAAAAACAAAGCCACCATCAAATAGCAAAAATAATGCCTTTATAAAGAATATAACTAACTAGCCTGATCTAGGTACTCAAAGAGGCCTTGAATTGATAGTTTACAGATGAAAATGACATTTAAACATTTGTTTTAAATTAGAGAAAGTGTTTCAATAAAAAAAAAAGCTGCATTCTGTCAATTAATGGGATGAAACAATTCATTTGCTGGACCATCTTACTTGTAAGGCCCCTATTAATTTTCTCAAACAAGAAACAAGGGCTGCCAAATGCAAGTACATGAAACTCACAACAAAAGGTGACCTCATGGATTGCGACATGTTCAAGAATGGCTTCCAAATATTACATTTACAATTATGATAAACAGAGTTCATAACAAAAGTCTGTATGGAGATGCCTTTTTTTGGTGTATCTTTAACATATTTGGTAATGCACTTAAAAGGTTAAGTTCATAGGAATCATCAATGCACATCTTTGTATTTCTAAAACTAGTAAAACAATACAGTTTATTTTTAAAAAGAAAATGTAATAAAACATACAACTTTAACCGAATACAAAAGCTTATCTATACCAAAAGCCAACATCATGTTATCAGTGCATATGTATTTACATAGAGCTGAGAACATTAAAAGATAGAGAAGGGAACCATGCAAGGATTTACCCGCTCAAGTCTACTTTGAATTTGAGACTAAAAAATGGCTTAATCATGATTGGTTAAATGTAATATTAATATATGTGAACATATTAGATGGGCTAAAAAGATAATAAGCAGTGGAACTAAAATAAACCAAATTTTTAAATTTTTTTTTACAAGATGTAGACTCAAATAATGAAAGTAAAAAAAATTACCACAACTGTTACACTTTAAGGTTACCAGTGGTATAGAGGTACCAGTATTGCACAGATTTATTTAAGGGTTTTTAAAGAATATTTGCTTCTTAATAATATGATGCAACCAAAAACAATTTCTGTGTTCTTACGTACTGGCCAATTACAGGCAAGAGTGTGTCTACTAAATAGTCTTGACTACTTAATCTACTTGATAAAATTTAACCCCCAAAATACGCAACACTTTTTGGAAGGTGTCCTGAATTATTCTGAATAAACAAAGAATTTTTCATGTTTACAATCATTAATAATAATAGAATGCACAAGAAAATGTAAATAGTAATAAATTCAACATGTTATCAATATGACAATAATTCATATAATTTGTATACACTCTTATCTAGCTAAGCACAAATATCAATACTGTTCAGGTGGGTAATTTTAAAATTAGATATGAGTATTGTCAAGTATACTTGGATACAAGTAAGTGCTTATTAGCCACCAAGAGTTTGTTGATGAAGCTTTTTGTTCCTTTCAATGTAGTAAAAACCAACTAGGTAAAACACACAAGTTATTTTTAACTCAAACAATTTTGCATTCAGCATTTCTTCTTCATTCAATTCATATCCAAACAGTTGTTTTCAACCCTAACAAGTGCTCAGTGACAATAAATCTTACAAGTAAATCAATTATTTAATAGCTTTCTTGGCTTCATTTTAATAAAGTTTGTGCAATAAATATTTCATTTATACAGAATGTGTCAAAATACGTTAAGAAATAAATTATTTGTTTGAGCCTAATCAATGATTAATTTATCATCTATTGAAATCATCAATAAGTTCCATAACTCAAAATTCCCTGGATTTTTAGCCTTTATATTAAAAGTTCATTTGAAATTTTTTTTTTGACATAGATTCTTTTGAATATAAGTCAAGCTTTCCCAGACATATCCTTCATGCCATCATCTACTGTATCAAAATGCTAAATACTACAGCAAAATAAACTGCTTGTTTAAAACTAAAATTTGCTAAAATATGCATCAGGCTCAAAATTTTGACAGAGCTCTGAAGAAACACAACTACTTATAAGAATACTTATACCCATTAACAAGAGCAAAGAAAAGCAAAATACAATGGAATTATTTTACTGTTTTGTTGTTTTTATGTAATGCGTCAATCCATAACTGATTTTTAAACACAATCACAATGAAATAACACCAAAATACTTATACATTAATACGTAAATTTTTAAATTGTATTTCCATGCAGACATTATTTTAAAGGACAAACTATCGATTTATCCTTAAAAGAATACCCTGAAGAAAAAAACAAACACTGTATCAATTGTTACCCATCTTTTTAGCAAGTAAGGACCACATCAAAGATGAGACTTTGGAAAGAAACTGTTTTGAAATTTATGAATATATGTTTATTAATACGCATTCAATCTATGCAGCCTAATCTTATCTTAAGAGATTTATATTTTTTTTGTCTCAAGAAACAGTCACTTTTTAATTACTTGACACCAAAGCACAGCTTTCATAAAATTGTCATTACAGTCTCCGGAAGGACATGATTAGGCTTGGAGTTGTTTAACATTAAATTTTGAATATTTTTATTTGCCACTTTCAAATTTCTTGGACTATACCTCTTTTATAACAAATATTTCAAGCCCTCCAAAGTCATTTGAACACAGCTATCAAAATTCACAATTCTGACCTTTTTGTCAAGAATTCCAAAGTTAGTGATTGTTTAGATCCACCCATTTGTTGCAGTAAAGTTGGTATTGTTAAAAAAAACCACATAATTTTCCCCAGACTTAGGAAACTTTGTTTTATTTTATGTCTGTGCTGGTATCATTTTCTCTGTTACATCCATCTCCACTTTCACGACATCCTGCTTTAACTTTGTATTACGATTCCTGGAGATAATATGAAAAACAATACTAAAAAATACATCTCTTTCATATCAATCCATCTGGCCTAACCTATTTTTGCTGGAAGTCTTGCATCTGCCAGAGCAAAGGTACATAACTCCATTTGGAAACTACTTGCTCAGTAATATAAAGAAATATAAATGTATTTTTTAAAACTTTTTTAAAAAGTATCATATCAAAATGAATTAAATTTTATCATCAAGATAAAAAGATTGATATTAGTTGGATTAAGTGCGTTCCAAGACAAAGTCCAAGAAAAATTACATGCTCTTCATATATAAATTTGACTGTTATCTGCTCCAACATAAGCTCCTCAGGCTTCTTTTTTTAAAAAAATATAAATACTGTACAATACAATATAATAATACAATACAATACAGCTTGGTATACTGTTTTGATTTCTTCTAGGATGTCAAAAGGGCACCACTTTAACTTCGCCCAACTTACATAGCCTTTAAAAACACTTTAAAAAGAATTCATAAAAAGTTTACCTTTTAAGAATGTGTATAATAATGAGAACTGAGACACACAGAACAAATATTGCAGTGCAGATAATCCCGGCATAGGCTCCGTGAGACAGCTCCAGCAGGGTACTATCACTGGCGGCATCATAATAGTGAACCCCTTCAGCTGGAAAACAAATGAGGACCATTCCTAACATTTTTAGTTCACTGTGTATTTTTTTAAACAATCAATTAGCAAGCAGTTTTCACGTATAGGTAATGCTCTTGTCCAAAGAGCGGTGCTAAAAAGATGTGCTCCCCATTTTAGGAAATAAGAATGATACCAATATTTATTTAGCAATTATTATTATTTTATTTAATTATTGTGTGAATGATATAAACTTTGAAATGCACTGAAATAAACAATGTCCATGAGACGGCAAGATCTCGTTGGACAATGATATAAACTTTGAAATGCACTGAAATAAACAATGTCCATGAGACGGCAAGATCTCGTTTGACAATGGTTTATATTATGTTAGTTTTCATGTAAGTTTAAAAAAATAAAATTAAACCAGCACATTTTTTAAACCACATCTGCAAACTTCCAGTTTCATGCTATATACAAGGGGTGCTTGTATATATTGCGCACTTTGTTTTTAAAAAAAATTAAAAACCATCTCTGTCTGTAGGAAGCCAAAACAGTTAATTTCATTTTTTATTTAAAGTTATTCAACTGCGGCTGACATTTTTTCTCCAAGATATAATCAAATTGGGAATCAATTACATTATAATATTTTAGTTTTAGATTCAATTTAACCTAGTATTTTTAGGGGCATAACCATAAAAAAAAACCCAATAAACAAGACTTTAATGTGTATGAAGAGAGGTAGTCCTAGTCTTACAACAATTGCAATTTTCTCTGCTGTTGTTATGGAAAAGGGTTTGCATTTTTTTATTTAAAATAAATTGCTGTTATAAATTAATTTAAACCACGTCAAATGGCTGCAGGACGTAAAATATTTTAAGATAATAACGCATAATAATAGATACAATGTTTTCAAGACAAAATGCAAGTTTTCCTTCCGGAAATAAGCTTTAAGAGTTAAAACGTCTTCTCTTCAGCATATGATGTTTTGCTGTCTTTAATCATTGACTTTAAAAAAATGCACGCTTGTAAATTAAGTCCTCACAACACAAGGAAAGACACAGACTGAAATAATTAATTGAAGTAACAAATAGATTATACAAGATGCCAACATTAGTTATACACAAACAAAATAATAGTAGTACAATAACATGATAACTGAACCATTCCCACAGCTATCTAAAGAATCACTATGGTTTCTTCTAACCAAAACACAAGAACAACTGGGGGGATAAAAAAATAAAACAACAACAATATTTAACAAAGAAATATAATCACACACAAAAAAAAGCTTTGATAAATTTCATGATTAATGATTTTTCTACTACTAAATTGCTTGAAAATGTGTGTGTACAAGTAATTATCTAAACATATTGAATTTTGTGAGTGGTGGCCAGATCAGGAGACAACAAATACTTAGTAACCTCATGCAAAAGCCAATTAAAAAAGGCGCAAGTTTGAAAAATATAAGCCTTGGCACATTAAATGTGATACACTAGTAAACTAAAAAAAAAAAAAAAAAGTGATATATGAAATAAAAAAGGGGAAAATTTAAAAAAAAAAAAACATGGGAAAATAAATGTAATAAAATAAAAAAAAAAAAAAAAAAAAAAAAAGTGATATATGGTAATCAAAGCTATAAAAATTAAAAAAAAATGTTTTTTCATCCAAGCAGACAACACAGAATTGAAAAAAAATAGGAGGAAACTTGAAATAATTATTAATCTTAAACAAAATTATATTTTGAGAGCACATCCAAGTTGGAATTGATGAGTTACAATTTTGTTGTAACCAATAAATTAATTTGTCTTACTTAAATTATGTATTTATCTACTTTTACTTATATACATTGGTGAAAATATAAAGATTATATTTAATGGCATGAAACAAAATTAGCTTAGAAATTGACATGACAAAATGTATTCAAACATTCTCTGAAATGATGTGAGCTTATGTGATCAGCACAAGATTGAAACATCAAAAATTGAGGCAAACTAAGATGGAACAAATCAATTTTGTGTGTGCATAATTACTGTAACTTAAACAAAAATAAGTTGGCACTTGTAAATTCTCAACAAAATAAAATTTCCTTTTAACTAATAAAAAAAAAAGAAATATATATTTCTATTCTTACAAACTTAAGTTTAATATCTTTAGAAATGTTATTTTTTTTAGGTTTGCTTCAGTGAAAGTAAAAAAAAAATTAGATTGAGATTTACTACAAATCAAACACTTTACAAAATAAATTACCATGCCCTTTGAATAACAACCCTGATTCTATTACTGAATCAACAGTAGTTATCTCCTCTGAAATGTTGTTGGAATGCAGAATATATGTAGGCTAAATTAGTGCAGGAAATCCATTTAAAAATAAAAAAGTTTAAAGCATTATGTGCTTTAAACTGCACTTCTACACACAAAAAAAAAAAGCATTACTTTTCAAATTTTCTAAATTTAATGGTTACTTTTTCAGATAAATTAAAATATATTTACTTTTAAATATCTTAAGTTTTAATAGCTGTTGTAACTGGGAGTTCTTCAGTTAATTAAGCAATAAATATAAAGATCAACTAATGAAAATAAATCTAGATTTACTATGGAAGCTTTACAAATTCATTACCATGCCCTCTGAAAGATAACCCCGATTCTATTACTGAATCAACAGTGGTTACCTCGGCTGAAATGTTATCTGATTCCAGTAGAAAAAGAGAATGTACAGACTAAATTAGTGCAATGAATTATTTGTTAAAAATTTGTACGAGTCATGATTGATATTTTTAACATTATTTTGAAAACTGCGGCTTAATTTGTGTCTTTAAATGTAGCTGAACTTTATTGCCGTTCAACCATCTTCATTTAACCACACATATTACAATTGTATAATAACAGACCAGATGTTATAGTAATATTCATTAATTAGAAACATGCTTGTGATGTCAAATGATTATTTTAAAATAATTTTTTTGAAAATAAGATAGCATTACTTTTACTCTCAGTTATTAGTTTTCCATCGCCAAAAAATTAAGGTAAAGGTGATAATGTTTCATTTAAATCTTTTTCTTTGATACTTACCATGTTTTTTTATACAAGTTATATTATTTATTGGATCTAGTTCATAGCCTTGGCAACATTCCTCAATTATCATGTATTTTTCCACTGTCCGATTTTGTTCAACTGGGCACTCAACCAATCTGTATAATCAGAAATAATATATCATTTGAATAAAGTGTTTCTTGATTAACTCTTTTGCTGCGTTCTGAAAAGCATAGACCAATGAGCTTTGCTTTGTTTCAGTATCCTTTTTGTTTCTTTGCTATTTCTCTGTTAAACTTTTTAAGAGCTATTTTTAAATAAGACTTTTACATATAAGAGTGGCACTTCATCGTTTGTTTTGAAGCATTATATTAATGATTTTCTTCGCTTTTTTTTTTTATTATTGCTATGGCTACTCTCTCCCCTAGTAGGTGAGTAAGGCTCCTAGATTAACAGCTCAAAAAGCTTTGGAGTTTTTTTTAATACCACTTCTTTTGATAGTGAAGATGATTTATATTTAGATCCATCGCATGATTCCGATAGTAGTAGTTTTAGAGGATTTGAGTTATAGAAGTAAAGATGAGGTATGCGTACATCATAGGTTTTGGGGAAAAAATGGTTTAGCATATGTTTTCACATTTTATGGTTCTTTTCTGTTATTTATTTTATTTAAACTGAAGAAATAAGTTTACAAAAATATAGCCTATTCAATTATCTTTTATTTAATACCAAGTTTAGTCTTATTGAAACAAAAAAATAATATTTTAAATATTTTTTCATAAACCCAACCTGTGACTCTTTTTTGCTCTTTGAAAAAAAATGTACATTTTGTCTATAAAAAAATTCTGCAGCGAAAGAGATTATGCAAAATGTATTTTCCCTTAATGGCATTATCATATTGCTATAATGCCACACACATTTGAATAGCTAATGTTTAATAAGTTTGGACTAAAGGAGTATTAAAATTGAAAATTTGATACAATTAGTAAGGGAACAGTTACACCTGTGAATTATTATCTGACTAAAAATATTTTTACAGTGATGGAGATCACATTTTTCACTAAAAATTGCTGTTTCATGTACTTGCAAAAAATAAGAGGAAAAATAGAAACCTACTCATAATAAGTGCACTCTTTACTTGTAAACCAGCCACATTTTGCTTTGTATGCATGACTGCATTGAGCCAATACAACATAAGATTCCACATGTGTCACCCGCTTCAGCCGTGTGCACCACATGGCCCTGATTTTTAAACACACAATAATATATGATTCAGAAAGTGGGTATTGTCAGCACTTAACTGCAAAGGAGTTGTTCTAAAGCTGTTTCAGGGGGCGTTGATGCATAAGAACATTTGGAGTATATAAATAAAACCACATTATTTGTCTAACTTCATTACAGCAAACACTGTTTTTTTTAAAAAGTATTTCAGGTGAATCCAGCATTTAATACTATAATATTGCATTTATAAGGTATTAGTGATAATATTCTAAGTGTCAACATATTTGCAAAATGAAATGAAATATAATGTCCATAAGATTTTTTTTTAAAGAGTCACTTGGATTACTTACCTAGATAAAGTTGTTGAAATAATGAAAAGCAACAAAGTAAATAAGAAACTTCTCAAACCCATCAGCACCATTGTGTTCAGACACAATCTCTTTCTTTTGAGTTGAAAATAGAATAATGCAATGTTTTCCTCATGAACAACTATAAAAGAAAAAGAAAACAACCTTAAATTGCAAATACAAATAATTTCAAGAACACCCACCAATTAGTAAAATCATATTTAAAATGACAAGTTTTCAAGTGGAATGAACATACCCATTTTTGTGACTAGTTATTTCTTGTAAAAAGTATTATTGAATTCTGAATCTATTTACCACAACTTGACAATCATGCTGTTAGACGTGACAAAACAGACTTACTTTGGTTAGGAAACACAGCAACAGATTTTAAAACATAATAATGGATTTTCAAAGCAACATTAACTTAAAACTGTATGGCACTGTAATATAACAGATATTTTTTTTTAACACAGAAAACACTCTTTTTAAAATCACCCATCCAGTTGGCCATTAGTTACAACTTCAATTTATTGTGAAGTTTTTACTCAGGGTTGACCTCTTCCCCAAGATAATATATGGAGTACACGTTCAAGCCATGAGGAGTAAATAAATAGTGGAACAAGATATGTTTACACTTGAAAAAAAGACAGAATAATTAAAAGGGCATTTTGGCTAAATGCCTTCTACAGGACACAATACAAAACAAGAAAAAATAATTCTTTGAAATAGAAAAACTTTCCAGATCACAATGTATTTTTTTTAGCCTCTGTGTTTGGGTCTTTCTTTATACACAGAGACTGAGAAAGATACGATAGATATGAGTCGGGCCTATTAATCAGAATACTATACTAATATTATAACAGGCTTAATTTAATTTTAAAAATTTTAATTCAGTTTTGCACCTATTAAAAATAAAATATTAACTAGGTGCATTAGTACCATGTTCATTAGCATAGGTGCAACTTAAAGCAGTAGGGCCTTAGCACTAAGAGTAAAGAGACTTAGTTAATAATTAAGTTTTAATGAACAGAGAAGTCCAGTAAACTTAAACTTATTTAAGTTTATGTAATCTTTTAGTTTGTCCTAAAATAATACTATTAGTACTATGGTGTATTCTAACTACCAAATAAATAGTAAGTCTAGTATAATTACTAATAATAACTTTAAGTAGGCACTTCAGTAACACATAGGAGACTAACTACTAAATTTGAATCGGAAATAGGTGTACGGTGTTGGTGAAGATATTTCCAACTTTTTAAATTTTTCATGTCATTATAATTTGATTAATACAGAGTCTTATATACCCACAATTGAGTTACATTTCTGGCCTCTTATATTACAGGACATCTTGGCCTACATTCATATGCAGCAGTTTTGCACTTTCAATCAACTTTAATATTGGATTGCCCTTAAAGACTTTAAGAGGATGCTAATACTTATGAAATATTAAATTATTACTAATATATACCTGTACATCAAAATATTTGCTACCTTGTGCCTAAGAATGAATTTAGAAGGCATTTAAACGAGACTATTTTAATTTAATGTTTAAAAACCCTGTAGAGTCCATAATATAAATTATCATAATTTGTCATGTCATGAGAAGCAATTCAGAGCTACTTGCATATGGCTAAAGCTATACTATGGTATCCACAAATTTTTTGGAAAGAATTTTTTTAGTCAACTCTAGTTTGGTCGAAAGGAATTTTGGTCGAAAGGAAATTTGTTCCAATGGAAGTTTGATAGAAAGTAAATTTTGTGAAACAGAAATTTGGTAAAACAGTAATTTTCTCTCTCAGAGTATCTATATTAAGTGTTTGCTGTGTGCAAACACTATTGAATCATTGGTCAGGGAAAGCTTTAATTAATTAGTCATGTAGAAAAGTGAAAATTTCAAAATTAGTTGTCCCTAACCAGTATCTTTTTAGGGGGTCGCATTGCTTTCTTTGGACAATATACCAGTATAAGTGTAATAATTTATGGATGCTGTAGACTTGGTAAACAGAAAAGCCTTATAGTATATTTTTAAATTTAATGATAACACATAATCGGGTGCTGGGTAGCTGAGTGGTCTAAACTGAGCAAATATCAAGTTGGTGGTATGGAGGTCAATGCCCGCCAAAGGCCAGTCAAGCAAAAACAACCACCAGCACCCCGGGTGGATGGGACTCGTTAACCTTGGATGGCAACTCATCTAAGAGAAGGAAACTCTGAATTCAAACTCGGACAGAGATGGAGTACCGTAGGAGGATAACATTGGTATAATGAAACATTCCGACAACTCCTGGTGTCAAGCTGTACCATCCACATTATGTTCCCTTGGGTTATCCAGAGGTGTGGAGAGAGGCGATTTGCTGTTGGGAACCAGCTTATAATCGTAGAAGAATAATTCCAGGCCTTCCATCATCCCAGCAAAAAAATACATAATATAAATACTTTAATAGTCCATAGTTAGATACAGTTGATCAATGATAGGTTAGAATTCATTTATAACTGCTAAATATTTTTAAAAGTACTTTACAAAATTATAACTTTTAAAATATATTATAGCATTAGTCCTGAGAATAAAAGTCATATAAAATTATCATAAAAATAAGTAAATAAGAATCAAATTTAAATAGCCCATGTTAATATTATGATGAAAACAGCATAATAAGATAACTGGGTCACAGAATGTGGAGATACAGCCTATGACTATGGCAGTATGGACACTATGTTAAAAAGGGATAAAAGAGCTGCACTTTGACTTTGATAAATTTGTAGCTCAAAATCAAAAACTGATGATAGTATAGCAAGTTGATATTAATGTTGGTTTCATTGTTGTTTTAAAGTTCTATTATTATACTCAGATTATACTGAGTAGGGTACTGTACAACTATTATTCTATTTTGATCATTTTTAGAAATTTTCATTTAAAAAAAAAAACTTAAGTCAAAGTCAAGTAGCTAAGGATAGCATATAATTATAAGTTGGCATAAGTTTAAGTTAAATTAAGTAAGTTATTAATATTAATTAAATAATTAATACTGCGACACTCACACTGACATGTTTCGTTAACTTTAAAACTTACTATTACTACTGTCTAAGTTACTACTACTACTAACCTACTACTAGTACTACTACTACTACAGTCTACAGTCCTACTACAACTACAGTAGACTAAGACTTTAGTCGTCTAAGTCAATAAGTATTGGTCAATAACAGTTCCCTTCAAAAGATACATACGTCTTGAATTTATTTATTCAGCTCAAGATGTAATCTTAAGTGTGAGTAACCAATGAATATGAGTAACGTAGCTAGGCAAAGGACTTTGCCTTCTGTTGTGTCAGCTGTGTTCCTTTTTTAACAAGTTAACTATTGATATTATTATGAAGTAGGGTCAGGGTCACGTATTAGACACGGATGTAGGTGTTAGATGTATTTTATAATAAATTCGCTTTTTTAATTTAACTCTTTTAAAAATTTTTTTTTTATCTTCAACCATTTTCATGAAACATTTTGTTAAATCTACAAGTTAAGTAAGGGGAATAAGACCTTAAACCCACCAAAACGTTTATGCATATACACATTTGAAATTATATTAACACTATTTAAATAATCCGGTTCCGGTGAAGTTTTGAAAGCCAGGATCAAAGTGAATCATAGTAGTAACAAAGACTTTGTTGAAACTTATTTGCTCATTCATTGATCACCCTGTTTATGTTATAATCTTTCAAAAGGAAAGCTGCATAATTAAAGTGACAAGCCTTGACTAATTGGCAACCAGGACCAACTCTATTAAAGTGCATCCCCCTCAAAACGCATGATTTAAGCCTATATTATATAATGCTATATATAAACCACATATGTCATATACCAGTCAAGAGAGGAAACTCAACAGCTTCCACCAAAGATGTCTGCGTCACATTTTACGCATTTGATGGCAGGACAAGGTGCCTAACACGGAGGTCTTGGAACGTCCACACATGTTTAGCATATTCTCCTTTCTTAGCAACAAGAGACGCCTTTGCTGGTTAGACTACGCAAGGAGAATGGAGGAAGGCTCCCAAAGATGTTGCTGTATGGAGATTTGGCAGAAGGGACAAGACTTATTGGACGGCCACGCCTGAGATTTATGGACGTTTGCAAAAGGAGCATGAGGTAAGCCAATATTGAAAACAGGAATGTTGGCGAACAGCAGTGTATGAAGGAGTAAAAAAGGCAGAATATACATGAAACGAAGCCCTTGCAACAAAAAGAAAAATACGGAAGTCAAGATCTTATTAGGAATCAATATTCTCCTGCGAGGATTGCAGTCGAGATTGTGATTCTAGGATTGGCCTAGAGAGCCACTCCTTGAAGTGTATGACTACATTATAGCTACTCCATCGTCTCGCGAAGACGGAAGGATGCCATACAATACAGATATAAACCCCATAAGTGTCACATGGGGCAGTCACCCCATTTGCACCCACTTGGAAGAGATAGAATTAACACATAATTATTAATTTGAAAGACCAGAACACATTATATTTTGAGTTTCTTATTATCGACATATACAAGGAAACACCAAGAGGGTGCCACCTTTTCAGCAAAATATATGGTTGTCATGAGGAGTCCTATCAGGAAGTCTTATTTTGGAGTGTGGCTATGTTATCATAAGACTTGTGTAAAATATCAATACTGCTCATAACAACTCAATAATGATAACAACTTAATTAAAAATTAACTCATGTTACTTACTACTATCTATTGCACCCATGTCCTTAGAGACAATGGCATAAAGAGGAAATTAATTTGAAAATAAATATTCTTTTTTTGCTTAAAGCTGCAAGTAAGTTTGGGTTAATGTTTTCTGCTGTCTGCACTAAATTATTTTGAAAATTGATGAACGGGACAAAATAAAGGAAAACAAAACTGAACATGAAAAATTGAGCACCCTTTTAATAATTAATGTAGTCAATAAATTATACCTCATGACTACAGCATTTGAAGGATAATGATTTTTTTAAAAAAATGACTTGTTGCTTTCAATTCTAAGAAATATCACTTGATTATAAAAAAATGTTGAAAGAAAAAACATAACAAAGACCAAAAATTATCTGTTAAATAAGAAAAACATAATTTGGCAAACTGAAAATGAATCCATGTTAAATAAGTTTATTACTTTAAATGTAGAGATGCAAGTGTAAACAAAAATTAACACATTAATCAAGAAAAGTCACAGAAATCTATGAAAATAAAAGAAGTATGGATACCAGTGCTACATAAACATCCAATCAATCAATCAAGTTTGTAAAATTTACCAACAGCTTTAGATAGCAATGCCAAAAAAAATATTTACAAAATTTTGTTAATAGAAAAATAAATTTTCTTTCAAAAAAAAAAGTAAAATAAAAAGTACAGCATTGATAATCTTAAATTCACAACAGCTAATGTATATTTCTTGCAGTTACATTTAATTTAAAATTTGGTAATAAAAAAGCCACTCCAAGATTCTGAATCCTGGCCATGAGCTTGTAGAGCTACTGGTCTTAAATAAATAAAAAATAGAATTAAATCATTTATAAAAATGTCATGGAACATTATAATAACAGTCTGGTTAATTAAATTTTCAAATACATACCAATGGTGTTTGCAATAATCTTTTATCTTGTTTAAGATAGGAAACATTTTGAGAAAAATTTCTGTAAGAAAATTTTAATTTATGAAGTCAAATCTCAATTTTTTTCAGCTCTAAACTAAGAGGGTTAGAAACGTTAGTGCATGAATCATCATTATCGAGTGTCATGTGTAATGTATTAAGCTATGAAAATAGTTTGCCTTTGAATAATTATGTGTGAGACAAAAATAATAGTTTAGTTATTATACCAATTAAAAAAAAAATAATTTCAAATTGGAAATCTGAATTTCTGGTACTTGCATAATAACATAAAATTGTTTGATTTCAACACCACTGATATTTGATTATTGGCATATATTAGTTAAAACACACAAACACGTTGTTAGCAACCAAATGCAAAGAATTAAACTGAGTGAATATGGTAAAAACAGAAAATTGAAACATTTTTATATTATTGCATGAATATTAAATGAAAAGACATGGCTTCTTTTGAAGACTGCTATACACTTCTTGAACAACTCACTTATCAACCACTACAAGACTATACAACTGTTCAATGATATAAACTTATCAATTGATTCACAAATCAGGAATATGTGAAGAAAACTCTTGTCATTGGGTGATTGCAGGGTGAGGCAAGGGGAAGAACTTTTGTATTTTGAAATGCAAAATAAACCCCTCGAGCTTCTTTCAAAAAACCCCACAGATGAAAAATTATATGGTTTCATCATGATGAGTAGTTTTATTTGTATTGAATTTTTATCAAAGAACTTTTCATTAAATATCTAATGCCTATAGATTGATTAGGGAGCTTCCAAAAAATATAAACATTTTCATTTCAAAATGTTTAGAAAAAAAAATGTGTAAGCATTCATTTACATTCTAAGTAATGAAATGAGAAAAATGGAAACATTTTACTTTTAAAAGTGTAGAGGATGTGATGTATCAGGATGTTATTGCTCCAGTTACATTGAATCATTAAAGCAATCAAATTAAACTAAAATAAAAAATGAGTTATTTTTGTTTCTTGCTGATATCTATTTATTGTAATGGAGCAGCTGAATTTATACTTTAAAGATTATCAGTTATGTGAAATATATTCACACCTCTAAATGAACAGTGAAAATAAAGGAGAAAATATTCTGATGTCAACATTTTTTAAAATGGCCCAAATTTGTTTGATAAAGAATGCATAAAATTTAAAAGAAAAAAAATGAAGTAAAGATGTTTATTTATGATAATGAGATGAAAAAAGATAGAACATTTATGATTATCAGGAGCTATTGTCTTTAATTTGGTATTAAAAATATTGTTAGATGAAACGGTAGATTATTATTTTTGCTTGTTGAAGTGACACAGGAAATATAAAGCATGTTACTCATTACTTTACTTCTTATCCCTCTAATGTAACATTTCGCATGAAGGTTCCTGCTCTTTATCATGGCAATGAACAAAATGTGAGACGGCTACATTTTCTATTTGCATTAGTCCTTTCATTAACCTCAATGGCCAAAAGGGACATGTCACATAAATAACCAAATAATCATTTCTACTTTGGAGGGCAACTTCTTGTAAACAGATGTAAATCCAAATTCAGAAACAGCATGACAATATTTTATTTACAGTCAAGAAAGTGAAAAGGAAACACCGCCAACGAAAAACAAATTATCACGTATAAAAATTGGGTATTTTCATAGATAGAAAGAATGACAAAAAACCTGTTGACAAAAAAAAAGGATTACATTAAATTTATGAATTAGAATAACATATAAACAGATGAAACAATGACTGTGTACCTGCAAATGAATAGGATTGTATTCAAAATAGCCATGCCCCATTCAATTTAACTTACAATATCCTTCTCATAACAAAACTTGAAACATTCATCAGTTACAAACATTCCCTATATTTTTCTGCCTTTTTGTTTGTTAAGCAATATTGTGAATAATCAATGCATACAAATTAATTAACAGCACATAAATTGAACACAAATAAATAACAAATATTGCGAAAAAGATATATAATCTTAAATACAAATAACATGTAATTCTTGTGACATAAAAATAACAAAAACAGATAAATGTTTCATTAACAATTAGGCAGCTGTTTTACACAAGAAAACAAGCAAACAAATATATTAACAGTTTATGCATATCTTCTGGCATTTGCACTTCAATGATGACATTAGAAATGATAAATATATTTTATCATTACTTAAGCAACAATTGATAACAATTATGAGATAATCAAACCTGACTTGTGCAAAGAAAATTATTTCTTAAGTTATTACATCCTCAACTTCTCCATTCCTTTGTGAAATATTATTAACAGTTTATGCATATCTTCTGGCATTTGCACTTCATTGATGACATTAGAAATGATAAAGATATTTTCTCATAACTTAAGCAACAATTGATAAGAATTATGAGATGGTCAAACCTGACTTGTGCAAAGAAAATTATTTCTTAAGTTATTACATCTTCAACTCCTCCATTCCTTTGTGAAATATAAGTAAGCCAGATTCATTACAAATTGTTTTTGGTATAGGTAAAGAAAAAACAAAATAAAATCATCCTTTTACTGTAGCCACCTTTCTTCACTCAAAATGTTCAGGTTGTATTTTTACAAGTTATTCAAAGTTCATATATCTTTAAAGAGTTAAATATTTATTAAAGATTTATCTCTTTCATCTAAAAATAAACATATAAATGAGAATGTGTAGAAAGTTAAAGATTTTTTATTTATGGACTAAAAAACAAAATCTAATATAAACTAAGCAAGAC